GGGTCTAATTCACATACTCACTAAACAGCTAGGGATTCTGAGCTGCCGACTGAGCAGCAGAGTGTAGGGGGAGAGGCCAGACGCTCAGGCAATGCAGGCTCTGCACAGGGATGCTCAGCTGAGGGGGTTCCCTCCCGGGCTTGACTCTCGAGCCATATACCTTCACAGGAACGGTGTCCGCCTGAATGAAGAGGTGACTTTACTGATTTGTGCAAAAGCACTGCTACACACACGCTGGTAAACGGAGGTTTGCTGTCAGGCCTTTCTGTGTCCCTCCTTTAATGCCTTGGGCAAGTCACTTCATTTCCCTGAGCCTGGACTTCTTCATCTTGTTTTGAAGTTACACAGTTTAAGTGGGTCGTACTCCATGGCCGCTAACCAGTGGTCCATCTCTGGCTCGCTCGCTCGCTCTCTCACTCAAGTTTTAGGGAGCACAGAGATGTGAAGTCTTGGTCCCCACCTACTTGAAGCTCATAGTCTGATGGAGAAGATAGGGGCTCATGGAGAAGATAACACAAAGCAGGGTGATGAGTAGTAGAGTCAGAAAGGAGAGGCTCTGAGGACGGAGAAGTCGTTGTCAGCTAGAGGCGATGATGATCTTGGCCCTGCTAATAACTAGCAGTGTAATAACGATCATGTGACAACAATAGCCTGTGCTAATCAATGAGTGCCTTCTACCCATCAGGCACTGCGTGAGGCACTGTCTCTGGGTGGCCTCTAGACCCCCTGAGAGGTGACTGTCATCCTCCCATTTTACAGGTGAGAGTGGTCAGGAGCAGAGGTGAACTGGACTTTGCAGGGATGATAACATTTTAAGAGGCAGAGATGCAGGAAGGAAAGTCATGAGGCAGAGGAGAGAAACTGATGGGCATGTGTAAGGAGTGGGCATAATCTGGGGAACCAGAGGCTCCAGGGATGAGGACACCATCAGAACTTGAGGTACAGGTTGCTGGAGGGAGAAGAAGGTTGGGTGGTGGAGATGATACGTGGGAAGCTGAGTCCCCGAGAACCACCCAGAGGCAGACAGTTTAGGTTTTTTTCCCAGTAGGAGAACAAAGGAGGCCAGGGCCTGGAGGGGATGGTGTGCGCAGGCTGTACTGAGCTGTCCCATTGAATCCTGCTGGTCTGCTGCTCTTTCTGTCAAGAGAGGTAAAGCAACTTGCCCATGGACGCGGGTTTCTCCATCCAACTCTGAGTAGTACTGGGACTTAAATTAATAACACACTGAGATTTTGATTTGTATTGATTTTCATAGAGCATGGGTAATGATTTTTTTTAAATAGATTTGACCAATCTGCAGTATACACATGAGGCTAACCTTCCCAGAGGCAAAACGGAAAGCCAAGGGGCCCTGAGCAAGTCTTTTTCCTTCCGTCTTTACCAATCTCCCCAGACTCTAATGACCCTTTTCTTTTTGACCTTATGTGCTTTCACCACCATTCGTTGACAGGAGGGATTAAACATTCTCGAGGCAGGGGAAGAGAAGAAAATACCCATATGGAGTCCTGCCCCTGAGGAGACTTTCCCTTGATGCATGCGGGAGACACCCAGCTTGGCTCTGAATTGGTGGGAAGACCTCCGCCCACAGAAGTAAAGTTCTTAGCCACAGAGCTGTTATCCTCTGGGTGGGTCCCCCCATCCCCAAAAAAGGCAGGGAGAGAAGAGAGGCCCAGGGGGCCAAAAACCTGGATGGCTGCCCTGAATTCTTCCTCTTGGGGGAAATGGAGGCTTCTCAAAGTGTGAAAAAAAAACCCACATACAAGCAAGGGAGAGGCTCCAACATCCCACATGTCTGCCTTGGGCCAGGATGAGTACCACCCCTTGAAAAGATTGGCTTCTGCAATTACAAGTGAATAAACAACCAATTAAAATGTCTCCCCCGCCCCACCTCACCCCACCTCTTCCTCTCACTAAGCTTTCCTCAGCCTAGAGCAGCAGGGCAGAGAGGTGACTTTGTCTAATAACATCTGTGTCCTCTGCCTGAGAGAATGCTTGATGGAAATGGACAAATCAATTAGAAAAAAATAAATAATGTGGAAAGGGCTGATCCAAGAAAATCTCGGCTTCTCTTTGTTTTCCTTCGCCCCCGCATTGTTTCCCTTTGCACCGTGGCCCTGCGTGAGCCTGGAAATGAGGGAGAGGCTGTGGGAAGGATTGGACACATCGAGATTTGCGCTTGGCTTTGTCACTATTTATGTGATCTCTGAACCCTGTTCCTTCATCTGCGAGATGGGGATGAATGATGGGAATAGTTAAACGCTAACTGAGCCTTTCTACTTGCCAGGTGTTGTTCTAGGTCCTTTACACTTCCTTTATTACGTCCCAAATCCTCCATGCAACCCGATGAGATAGATCGTTTTGTGTGTACAGAAACCGGGGCCCAGGCAGTGAGGTAAATTGCCTAGGACGACCCACACATCTGGTGGAGGAGCTGGATTCGTACCCAGGACTCTGGCTTGAGAACAAGTCATCCTACCCACTATGTTGCATGACTTCAAATACTGCAGAGATGGGATGAGAGGTGTTTGTTAGCATGGGGACTGGCATACAGCAAACGCTTAATAAATGCTGATTTTCTCTTTCCTCTTTCCTTCTCTGATCACAGAGTAGACTGGCCAAAACTCCTTGTGCGGCTTCCAGGCTAAGAAGGTGAAGGTTAGGATTTCCAGGGAGAGAAAGCGAGGCAGGAAGATTGCGGGTCAATATCTGAGCGTGTGGTCATCCTTGAAATTGTTCAGTTCAACTCAGATATAGCTATGACCTCTCTTGGCCCTGTCTGTATCTCTCACTCATGTTCACCTTTTTTTTTTTTTTTTTTTTCGAAAGCCAGGAAAAAATTATAGTCACATGATCAATTATAGGCTCTTGATGCTGTAGGGGATGAGGAGGGCTCTCTGGGTCTCCTATGTATCTATTCCCATTGGAGCAGAAGTGTGGGCCCGTGACCTGTAGGAATGCTCTCTGGAGCTAATTCCAGTGAATTAGCAAGGAAGCTTAGGCCTCATAGAAAGGAGACTGGGACCCCAATATTTTAGCTTTGTTCTTTCCCAGTATAAATTCAACCCCATCAATGTCTACTGAGTGATGGCCCCGAGGGCAAGCCCTATGCTGAGAACTGGGTAAACAGTAATGGATAAAGCATGTTCCCTGCCCCAGGGAGTCACCGATGGTGGTGGACATAGACAGGTGTCATGATGATTTGGAACAGTGTGAGGACGTGTACTTATGGGAGGTGGATGAGTGTAGAGATGGCAAAGGAGGTAGACGAGAAATGGGAGTCAGGGAAGCCTTCCTTGAGGAGGGGTACCAGCATGGGCTTTGTTCATCAATTTGTTGGATTTGTTCATCAGAGGACAAAATGCTGAGCAGAGTCCCTAACAGAGGGAACATCGCAAGTGAAGGCACCATGGATGGTGCATCATGGTGGGCGCCCCCAGCCCCCAGTGGGAAATTCAGGAGAGGGAGCTGGGAGACATGGGGCTGGAGAGGGAGGCAGCATACTGGAAGCCATGCTGGGGACCTTGGACTTATGTTTCACATACAGGAGCCCTTCTAAGACCCCAGGAAGGAAAGAGAAGGGAACTATCACAGTGTTCTACCAGCCAGGACTGTGTCAACCCCTTACGGACAGATGGACAGATACCATTATGAAAAAGGAAACCACTTCCAACTCACTATGTGACCTAAGTGAGGTCTGAAGCTTAAGTCTCCTTTCCCTCCTCTAGAATATAAGCCTCATAATACTGCCTACCTCAGTCATGTTGAGAAGATTAAAGGAGATCATCTGCATAAAGTTGGACCACATAGAAGGGCCAATCAAACATAAATATCATTATTCATAGACTTCACCTTACCTGCTACATCAAGCTGCCTACTTGCTTGTTTACATATGTTTTCATTCCTTTATTCATTCATTCATTTCCAACCTTACTCAAGAAATGATCTTCAGCTGCTCACAAGGATACATGACAGCAGACAGAAAACGGAGGCTGAGACACTCAAGAGAGGGGAACCAAATGCCTCCGTTGATTTAGAAAATGATCCGTTGAGTAATATGCCTGTGACTGATGGAAAGCTTTAGCATTCCAGTGTTGATAGGGGAGCCATACTCTGTGGAGGAGGAGTTCTTACTTACTGAGCGTCTAGGATGTGCCCAGCCTCTTTTCAAAGACCATTTCTTTCTCTCACCAACATGCGTTCATTCTATCTATTAAGGAGCTGCTGATGATAATGGGGAGTTGGTTCACTTTACTGATCTGTCCGTCTAAAGTGGCAGCCACTCCAAATACAACACCCCTCTCTAAGGGATTTTAGGTTCATTTTACAGGCAAATAAAGAGAGGCTTAAGAATACAGAATCACCTGGGTGTGGGGACAGCATGATGCCCAGTGACAAGAGCATAGGTTTCCAAGGTAGACAGAATTGGCCTTGAAACCCTGTTCTACAACTTTGGGCAACCTGTTTAATCACACGTGGGCCACAGGTTCCTTATCTTGAAAATAGCAATAATGCATCTCTGCAGGGTTGGTACAGAGATGCAGGGCAGGCCTCTAGTGCAGCTCTGTATTTGCCTCCCATAGTGAATGAGTGAAATAGAGAAGGAGCCAAGACTAGAATACACGTTGTCTTTTCCATGGTCGGCATTCTTGATTTGCACCCTCATTATGTAGCCTTATCACCAGGCAAGACAGCAGAGTCTTTAAGGGCAAAGATGTTGACTTTAAGTAAATGTAGGTTGTGAACTGAACTCTGCTGTTTATAAGCCGAGGAATCTTGTTATGTCTCTTCAACTTAAGAGGACTTGATTTTCTTAGCTGTAAAATGGGATCATCTCCACTTACCTTATATACTGTTGGGGGAAGTCATTGAGGTGATGTGTATAAAGTGTTTAGCAAAGTGCGTGGCACACAGTAGCTCTTAATCACTTGTGGGAATAGCTGTTATTTGAATAGTACATTTTCTGGATGGTGATGACAGCCAAGGTTCTTTTTCTGTTACAGAGCATACTTGGATGTTAATGAACTGAAGAACATTCTTAGACTGGATGGATCAACACACCTTAATATCTTCTTTGCAAACTCCTCGGAGGAGGAATTGGCAGGAGTAGCAACTTGGCCATGGGACAAGGAGGCCCTAATGCACTTAGGTGAGAATTAGAAACTTCTTCAGGAGGAAATTGGGTTAGCACAGGATTAACTTTAGTGATGATGGTAATGGTGGTGGTGATCATGACCTTGACAATGGTGATGGTGAACTATCTCTTTATTGCTTTATTGAGTACAGAACCCCTTAGCATTTCTTATCTCATCTCAACCACCAGGCATTTCTCTGAAGAAAATAACATGATATCATTAACCCTGTTTTGCCAGTGGGGAAACTGAGATCCACAGAAGGAATAGGGCTTATCCAAAGTCACACACAAGTCCTTGGCTGGGCCCCATTTGGAGTTCAAGTCTCCAGCTGTGTCCCTTGATAGCTTTCTTCTTTTACCCCTTGCCTCTTAGTGCATGTTGTTATCTTCCCAGCCTGTCAACCACAGGGAGCTGATACAGCCAGTCAGAGCTTGGCTTGAGGGATACCAAAGAGACAGAGAGAGGGAGTGAGCTTGCTAAGAACTCCTTGTTCCTCCATGGTCCACCAACACCACCAGGAACTCTTCTTACATCCAAAGTATTCATATCCATAAACCAGACATATGTTTATAGGAACCCATCACCAAGAGTCAGAAAAGACAATGGTTTCTGAACCAGGCCCTAAAGTAAACAGCGTAGCTCTTTAATTTTCATTTTTCCGTGCTCTCTTCCAGCACATGTCTGTATATGCATGTGTGTTTCTGTAACTTGTGCATATTTGAAATCACAGCATAGATAAAAATTTTACATTTTGTTGTTGTTGTTGTTGTTGTTGTTGTTTTACTTCATATTATGCTACCTACGTTAGGGACTCTGGTAACAGTCTTCCTAATCACTTCCCATCCAACTCTATCACTTAATATCACAAGAAAAAAAGCATCCTTCTGAGCTATTTCCATCTCTCTATAGGTGATGTTTTTAATTTCCACACAATATTCCATTGAGTGAGGGCACTACAATGTACTCAACCTTTTTTCCTTTGACAGAATGTTCTCGATGTTTATACCAGTGGAGAGCAATTCCTTGCTCGTCAAGCATCTTCATCTGGGGAGGTTTGGGCTCAGGAGAGAGACAGTTCTCCGTGTTTCCTGAGGTCCCCTGCTCCCCCAGTGGGATAGCCCAGGTCCAGTCACCGTTTCAAACGGCGGTATTTTGGAAATGAAAGACTCTGCAGCTTCACAGGACGGAGACCTCAAACTCTAGAGTTAGTTCCCACTAGACTGCTCTCCTTTTCCACTTGGTTTTAAGAGAATGAAACCAAAATATGGTGTGTGCGTGTGTGCACGCATGAGTGAACATGCGCAGTGTTGTTGTGGTGTAAACAGAACTGGAGAGAAAGAGAAATCTTTAGTAGTTCCCAACTGGGGGAATTTTATCCCCTAGGAGACATCTGGCCATGTCTGGAGATGGTTCTGGCTGTTACAAATGGGGGAATGCTACTGGCATCTAGTGGGTAGAGGACAGCGATGCTGTTCAGTCTATGGGTCTAGCAAGAATTATCCATTCCAAAATGTCAGTCATGCTGTGGTAGAGAAACCCTGAGATAGTTGATGGATGCATAGACAGACAGACAGAGGTTGGGCAGAAAAGAGCATGCAACTTAGACACACTTGAGTGTAGATGATTTGTTTCTGTCGCGTGCCTGGTATGACGTATGGGAGTCCTGCTGGCCCAGAGCAATACCCATGTTTGTTCTCAGCTGTGATTCTGCTTGGCCATATGGCCTTAGGCAAGTCTCCTTCCCCCGTTTGCTCAGATTTTAAATGAACAGGTTAGACTAGATGGTCTCCAAAGATGGTTCTCAGCACTGAAATGCTGTCCTGTTGGAAAAGCAACAGAAAGGCTCTTGATCAGACTCTTAGAAGGCGTCTAACGTTAGAGAAAAATACTCCTGATGATTCCGTGAATTTCCGAGGCTGGCTCAGGGCCAGGAATACAGAAGGCCATAAATCCGCAGCATGTTATAGTGTTTCAGAATGATGTCAGGCTCCAGCTATTTCACCTTTTAAGAGAAGCAGTGAAACAAGACTCGGGCTCTGTGCTGTGGCTCCGTGCAGAGGGGTGAGTCGGGAGGGGATGAGGTAAAACAAACCAAGCTGGCCCGGACATTAAGTCTACAATCCCGTCATTATCCCTGGAAATACCTGTGGGGTCCCGCACCTTCCCATCCCCCTGCCCGGCACCTCCATGTTGAAGCCTCCTGGAGAAACAGAATCACTGCCACTGTCGTAGCTGTTTATTTTAGAGCTCACCAGAGACTCAGAGTCACTTTTCCAAGATCACACAGCCGGGGTCAAGCTGAGTGAGGTTTGCATCCAATGTCAGGCTCACTGCCCCGGGCCCCCAGCCCCCAGCCTGCCATCTCCCCATCCCGAGACATGTTGGCCAGAAGCAATTTCTCCACACTAACCCCAATCAAACCTAACTTATTAGAACCATACCTATATTTTTACCCTCTTTTCCTGCCGTGATGCCATGATCTCTGGAAAAAGCCTTGGGTGGGAAGGGGATTATGTTTCATATTATGACTGACAGAAAATAATTGAGAGAGATTTCCTGTCTCAATTTCTCTTCCTCCCTGCCTCTCTGCCTGCCCCTTCTCACACACGTGCGTGTGCACACACACACACACACCCACACCCTCTCATACATCTTTATCTCTGTGCTAGAAGGCTCTGCGCAGTTCAAAATTAATAGACTCCATGAGCCCCATGACTGAGCAAACTCACCTCCCGGCAGTTCAACCCAAGATAAAACTCCCCCACCGTGCCCGCCAGTTCAAATCAACAAGACCCTGCCTTATCACCATTCTTTAGAAGACCCTGCTCCGCACTTAAAATCACAACTTGCAAGAGTGTTCAGACCTGAATGTTAACCTTCTCTTAAACACATTTGGATTTTAAAGTATAAATGTCTCCTTACCAGCCTATATCGTTTCTCCAGTGCCTCAAATGAACATGAAAAATGCCATCCAGTGATTCTGCTGAAATCTGTTCCATCCGTCTCCCTAGGCTAAGCCATACACAGTCACTGAAGACCTGTGGGGTAGACCGTGGCTTCTGCAACTAGAATGTACAGAAGAGTCGTCTGGGGCCCTTGTTAGAGCACAGATGCTGACTCTGTAGGTCTGCAGTAGGGCCCGGGAGTGCATTTATAATCTTTTCCAGGTGATGGTCATGCTGCTTATTCTCAGGACCCTCTTCGACTCCTGAGAAGTTAGATACCCTCTGACCCACTTGGAGTCATGAGTAAGGCACCTGCTAACTGGGAAGCTAGGCAAGGCTGCTTACGTGGGCTCAGGTGGACCTCAGAAAATGGCTTTCATTGGGTTAACGTTCAGCAAAGATTCAACACACTTGTAATGAGATGCCACCTTGCAGGCCCTGCGATTGGCACTCGTAGTAGAAGTCATTAAGAGGCCTGGCTCCGGAAACTAAGGATCTTGGGTTCAAATCCCAGCTTGACACTTTCCAAACTCCCAATCATGAGCCTGTCACTACCTGTCTGGGATTCAGTGTCTCTGCTCTTGGGTTGTGAGTTGAGGAAGTGTGATTATACACAGGAAACACCGAGCACGGGGCCCGAGGACACATGCTAAGCACCCACAAGACGTTGGATGTAATGACACCATCATCATGAGGAGCTCAACAGGATGATGGCCTCCATGAGGGCTAGATGAAGAAGTGGGATTCAGGGATGGCAGTTAGCTTGCTCAGCGTCCTAGCATTGGGGAGGTCAGAGTGAGGACTGGCACCAAGGTATCTGGCCATGAGGGCTTTGGTTGGACTAGACAGTGCAGAGTGTTTGTAAACTAGGGTGTGCCTTATTATTGAAGGACAAGGTGGCAGCAAAAATGTCCCCCAGCCCAGAAATCATGCCTGTTTGTAAAGTAGTTTGAGATCAGCTCAGTCAGGTTGCCTTGGTTCTTCAGGCAATAGAGTTTTCATCTGAAAAAGGAAGGGATTGTCCAGAGTGACTCTTGAGACTCCTTCCTACCCAATCAGTGCTGCGTATCACAAGTCCTAACAGTTCTCAGAGCAGTGGAGACCCAGGGTGGAGAAGCCTGTGGTTACCTGGGGCAGCACCCTATTTGCCTGTGATTGGGGGATTTCTGCAGCAGGAAATAGTGTCCCCACTTGCTTACGGCTCTGGTTTTCCCTTGCAGGTGGCATTGTCTTGAATCCGTCTTTCTACGGCATTCCTGGGCACACCCACACCATGATCCATGAGATCGGGCACAGCCTGGGCCTCTACCACATCTTTCGAGGCATCTCAGAGATCCAGTCTTGTAGTGATCCCTGCATGGAGACGGAACCCTCCTTTGAGACGGGAGACCTCTGCAGCGATACCAATCCAGCCCCAAAACACAAGTTCTGTGGTGATCCGGGACCAGGGAATGACACCTGTGGCTTCCATAGCTTCTTCAACACCCCTTACAACAACTTCATGAGCTACGCAGGTAGGGTTCCCTTGCCCAGCAGGGCGAACACGGCTGGGTGTCCCACACTGGCTCTGGTCCTGGCTCAGAGGAGCCTTGGGAAGGCTGCTTTCTTTTTCTAAGACTTCTTCATCCCAATTTTCCCTCATCCCAGATAATCAGGATGTGACAGTCCTTGTGTGAGATCTCAGGGCTTCATGGGAGCTGTTGTATCTGATGTCTCCTCGGAAAGACACACTTGAAGGGGCTGACTGGGGCCCAAGGTCAGGAGACCTATGGAGAAGTTCTCGATCTACCACTGGGTTACCCAGTGCCTTTGGGTCAGTTAAACCCTGTCTCTGGGTCTCCCTTCACTCAAGAAAATGGAATCTTTGGATCCAAGGAATCTTAGAGAAGTTTCCTCTAATTTTGCAGTAGTATTTTTCTAAGCTGGTGGTTACTGCAACTTTTTCTTTATCTTTTCCTTTTTATTTTTAACTGCAACTTTTTCTTAAATATAAAGCTATTATACTCTCCTTTACTCTTTTATTATCAAAAAAATAGAATGCTTTTGGTTTTGCAAATACGAAATTATGTGAGAGGGGTGCATTCTTTTCCTAACTGCATATATCCTGTCAAAGCCCTGTTTTATACCATCGGTAATAACGTTAAGGACTCATGCTTTGGGTTCAAGGATGTCGTGTACTTCTTTTAGAATATATCAAGTCCACTTCTAGCCTTAGAGCATATTTGGAAAGTTAATACAAGGCATTCTTTTCTAAGGCAGTCTCAGCCCTCACCACTGGCCTTTTAGACCAAGAACCCCAGTGTAGGACCCAATCCACAAACTGCACATGTTAGCCCAACACTGAATTCTATTATAATATTCTATATATATTATAGGAGTCTCTTGCCCCTACAAAAGTAAGCGAGTTCTGTGAAAGCAGAGACTATCTCTAATCACTATATTCCTAGCACATACCTCCTAACACAGAGCTTAATAAGTGTTTGTTGAGAAGAAAGGGAGGGATGGAGGCAGGAGGGAAGAAAATAAATTCTCATAAAGATATAAAAAGGTGATTCTTATCAATAGTATTATTTCTCCTTGTATAAAAGTTTGTGATTCCTAAAGGACATTAATACACACTATCTCATTCAACTCACAACAGATCTGTAGGGTAGAAAGTGTCCCCATTTTACAGATGGCAGTACCGTGACTCACTAAAGTCATTTGCCCCAGATCACACATCTGACTCCAAGCACTTTTTTTCTTCTATTCCTGTGTAGGGCTCTAAGTCTCCATCTCTGCTTGAACTCGGAAAGCCCTCTTCCCACAGTTTTCCATTTCTTCTTTGACTTTGGCCTCAGACAACAGTTTTTTAATTAACATATATTATTTTTTTCAGGGGTACATGCCTGTGAATCATCAGGCTTACACATTTCACAGCACTCACCATAGCACATACCCTCCCCAATGTCCATCACCCAGCCACCCTATGCCGACCCCCCCTACCCTCCAACAACCTTCAAGTTGTTTCGTGAGATAAGAGTCTCTTATGGTTTGTCTCCCTCCTGATCCCATCTTGTTTCATTCCCCCCACCATGACCCCCGCCCTGCCTCTCAAATTCCTTATATCAGAGAGATGATATAATTGTCTTTCTCTGATTGACTTATTTCACTTAGCATAATACCCCCTAGTTCCATCCATGTCATTGCTAATGGCAAGATTTCGTTTCTTTTGATGGCTGCATAGTATTCCATCGTATATATATAACACGTCTTCTTTAACCATTCATCTGTTGATGGACATCTAGGTTCTTTCCATAGTTTGGCTATTGTGGACATTGCCGCTATAAACATTCAGGTGCACGTGCCCCTTCAGATCACTACATTTGTATCTTAGGGTAAATACCCAATAGTACGATTGCTGGGTCATAGGGTAGCTCTATTTTCAACTTTTTGAGGAACCTCCATGCTGTTTTCCAGATGGGCTGCACCAGCTTGCATTCCCACCAACAGTGTAGGAGGGTTCCCCTTTCTCCACATCCTTGCCAGCATCTGTCATTTCCTGACTTGTTCATTTTAGCCATCTCAGATCACTTTTGAAAAGAGGATTTTACTGCTGAAACCGAGTGAATCTGATAATCCCCAGTAGGTCTTCCTGCTTTCCCACGTAGACTGATGACCTCTGGGGGCCTCTACAGTTTAAGGCTCCTACTGTTCAAACCTGAGGTCTTCGAAAGGGTCAACAGCCCAACCTTGGCACCAGAAAGGGGTCGTCAGGTTTAGGTCTTTTAAAAAGACCACAGTGCTGGGTATTTCCTCAAAAGCAGATTTCCCACTGGATTCCCATTCCCAGCCAAGCCGACATCCCACATCCGGTGCCCTGTCCCATCACACAGCCCTGCTTACGTTCCATTTCTGTAGCACCTTTCCTTGGCCAGCTCAACGCACATGGAAAATAAACAATAACATGAATTTGGAAGGTTGCCGGAGGCTTAGGGGCCTCGGAGCTGCCACTGGCTACCAGACCCCCATAAACTAAACCTTTTTTTTTTTTTTTTTGTTCCCCTTTGCACAGATCTAAAGGGTGATTGATTTACTGTTGTTTTTTTAAAGGAACCCCTCAGCTCAGTGACCCATTAACAGCAGAACTAATTCACTGAGCTACGATAACAAACTTACACCCGCAAAAGCATATTCAAGGCGACCACGAGCTTTGACATGTTTGTTTTCCTTAGGATCTCTGATAGATGAGGTGACAAAAGCAGCTGGATGAAATTCAAAATGCAGAAGAGGATGGGGTTCTCAGGACCAGGAAGAGCTGTGCACAGGGGCTGTGCGGTCCAGGCCAGAGGGTGGAGACCCTGCTGGGTCAGCTGCTCAGAGTTCCTTCCGTCCTTCCTTCCTTGGTGCTTCTTTATCGGGTCTGGCCACTCACAGCGTGAAGAGTCTAGAGCAGTGCCATCCAGTAGAACTTTCTGCAAAGATGGGCATGTCCCATGTCCGTGGTGCCCGGTGTGATCACCGCTGGCCTGGTGTGGCCTGTGAGTGCTTCGAGTATGGCTAGTAAGACCGAGGAGTTGAATTGTTCATCTTTAGTAACTTTAATTAGTTCAAACTGAAATAGCCCCAACTGGCTGGTGGCTGCCGTAGTGGTCAGCACAGGTCTACAGTTGTTATCAATTGCCTGGGATACAGCACACACTGCAGGAAACACTTCATAGGCTTCTCTTGTAGTATCCTCAAAGTGACCCTCTGAGGTAAGGACTATTCTTACTGAACCCATTTTACAGATCCAGAAAGTGTGGTTTCATGTAGCTTAGGCCACTTGCCCAGGGTCACACAAGAAAAAGGTAAGCCTTTTTCACTGCAGAGCCAGTGCTATTGATCGGTGAACAATCTGGCTCTTTCCCTCTCTCTCTGATGCTAAGGCAGGTGGGGAGGGGCCCCAGTGCTCAGCTCCAGCAAACACTGGACAGGTGACGGCATTCAACCCCAGGTGCATAGGGTCACTTTGAGCCACTGGATAAGCCCCGGGCAGATGAAAAGCAGAAGCCCAGACTCTCCTTCCTGAAGATGATAGGCCACCCTCCATCAGGGCTTCCTCAAGAGTACGAAAACCAGGCCTTGTCCGGCCCACAGGAGCAAGTGTCTGGTTACCATTGTTCTGCACGTCGGGGTCTTTCCAAATACACATCTGCTTCAACCGTGCAATCCCAGCTCTTAGGAATGTATCCTTAGGAAGGAAATCCGTGCACTTGTTTCAGGACTCAGTCCTAAGGATGTTCTCAGCAATGTTCATTGTCAAAATATCAATGAGGTATTTACTCTCTGCCAGGCATGAGAAAAAAACGCTTATATGCGTGAAAAATTAGAAACTGCTTGCAAGACCAATGAGCATGGATTGTTGAAATAAATCACAAAGCACCATATGATAGAATGTTGTGGGGCCACTAACGATAATGCAGAAGATGAAAGAGAGGAGTAAACAGAAGCTGAGGGGCACAGTGGCACAGAGCACGAAGTTTGGGAGTGCGGCACCGAATGCGAATCCTCCGTGCATTAGCCTTTGACAGTAGGTGAGGTGCCTCTCCAGGCCTCCCTGGCTTCCTGCATCCCGTGGAGGGTCATCACACCGACCTTGCGTGATGGCAGGTGTACTCACGCAGATGAAGGACTTAGAACTGTCCTTGGTACCATAACTAGTGCTCCGTAAGTGATCATTCCTAGGAGTATTTGTTAACTCTTTAATGTGAAAATGGTCACAGAGCCTTGTACGGTGTAAGACCTGGCATATATACGTGTGTGTGTATGTATATATATAAATGTATGTATATATATGGTGTAAATGTATTTCCGATAATGAGAATTATAAATATTCACATGCAAAATACACACATAGATCTATATGCTAAATACCCATTGTATTATCTCTAGGGAATGAGTTTAGGGGGATGTTTATTTCTTTGTAACATTTTGGATATATTCCACATGTTTTACAGTGAATAATCATTTATTGCTATTACTATTAGTATCACTATCATTATTTAATAAAAATAAAAAAGGCAGGAGCTCTTACAAAGGGCAGCTCCGTCATCCCTACACTAGAAACGGGTTTGCTTGTTAAATGCCCTTATTAGCTTTAGGAGGTGGTTACATCACTGTTCCCTGTGTTACCGTGGGTAAAAACAAAGCTGGCCAGGGAGACAGCATCGTGCTCCCGGTTCCACAGTACACAGCAGCGCTGGCCCTGGCCTGACGCCCTGGCCTGACCCTCTGTGCTCTGTGGTCACCATGCTCCAGAGGGGAACATGTTCTAGAGAACCAAGTTCAGTTAGCAAACTCAGGGCAGGGCCCCGAAAGCATGGGGCTGGTGCAGGCTTTCCCAGTGATGAGATCCCCAAAGTCCTCCCTGCTGAGGGCTAGGATGGGAACCAAAGAACAAGAGGGGCTGGTTGATCCTGGAGCTCAGATGTCAGGAGGGGAAACATGTGGAGGCAGGAAGCCAAGAGGGGCTGACTCTAGACATGAGCTAATTGAGACAGAGCGTTTGTGATAAACGGAAACCCTTTGGCCCCTCCCCCCAGGACTCTGAGAGCAGCTGAGTCTTTAAGCGATGCACTGTGGGACAGACGTTCACGGACTTCTATGCTCAAGTTTAGATACATTTCTGTTCCCTTACCAAGTTTTGTCACCTATCTGTTCTTCATACTCCTTTTTATTGACAAATGTAGAAATGGCTAATTTTTAAGTCGCTAAAGGAGAAATGCACTTCTTGGGGAAAAGAAAGAAACAAACAAACCAGAGTGAATGAGGGGGAAATATGCTGGTTTCCTCCTCCATTCGTCTTGATAAATACTCTGTGTGCTCCAGCTCACCGAGTCCCCACAGCAGCTCCATGGAGTGGGGTTGATTCAATGTCCCCAATTGTACCTGCAGGACCTGATTTTGAGTTACTTCCTTCTTTTGGAAATGACTGATTAGTATTCTCTTTGGTGCTGTGCCTTAACGTACATGGCCATTCCCCTCCTAATAGACGGATGTGTTATTTCTGATATTTTTTTAAAGATTTTATTTATTTATTTGACAGACAGAAATCACAAGCAGGCAGAGAGGCAGGCAGAGAGAGGAAGGGAAACAGGATCTCTGTTGAGCAGAGAGCCCGATGCAGGGCTCGATCCCAGGACCCTGGGATCATGACCTGAGCTGAAGGCAGAGGCTTAACCCACTGAGCCACCCAAGTGCCCCTATTTCTGATATTTTTACCATTATAAATGATGCTCCAAAAAATATCTTCATACCTCTATTTTCCCCATATTTGTTCATGAATATCTGTCTATTGAATTCCTGAGTGTGCTATTGCTAGATCAAAGAGAATGAATATTTTACATTCCGGTTATTTTTTTTTTTTTCCTGCTTCTGGTTCTCTCTCTCTCCTTTCTCTCTCTCTCTCTCTCTCTCTCTCTCTCTCTCACACACACACACACACACACACACACACACACGCAGGCACTGTCCCGGTCCTAAGGCAGTGAGTATTTACTGAGCATTATGGTTCTTTGTGCATTACTGCCCTTAACCTTCAGCTGAGTTCTGAGGGAAACATTCCCGGTGTCCTCATCATCGCCATCTACAGTGGGAAGACAGAGGCCCTGAGGGCATGAATTCACTTGCCCACTAGACTCTGCATCCCTCACAAGTTGGTCTAACTCTTTAGCCATACTTATTAGCCATTGTCTCTTCCCCTGCCTGTGACCTATTCAATGGCTTTCCCGGGGTGCTTTTTTGCACTAAGAATGCGAAGTTCCTAGGAACAAAAGAATTTATCCGATGGGCTGGCCCTTCTTAGGCTAGATGTTTGGACTCTATTCTCCAGGCAGCGAGAGCCGTAGAATGTTTGTTATCCAAGGAGTTAGATGGCTGCATGTGGACTTGAGAGAGATGTATGTGACTAAGGGGACTTGTTGAGGGAATTGGGCTCTTCCGCTTTGTCCAGACCTATGAAAGATGTGCCCGGGTGCTGGACAAGGGACCGGCCTACAAAAATTACTAAGGGGATCAGAAGAAGCGTCTGTGTCTAACCTTCTTTCACTCCTGTCCCTTCCCCAGGCTGGATTCTCAAGGTCCCATCCAGCTACCCAGCACCTGCTCAAACTTATTTTCTGTTTGTTTGATAAGGCGAAGTGAGTTTATGCTGCAGGATTCCCAGGGGCGGGTTTATTTTAAGATCTGGTGAGCCCCGTGCTCCTCCGTCTGGGGCCCAGCTGCGGAAACCCCAACTGGGCAGACACCTCTGGGAAGTGATATTTTTGGAAACCTATCCAAAACAGTGCCTTGTTCTGCCTCCAGGGCAGCCGAATGAAGCGGTTGGAGGGGTAGACAGGAGGCAGCCTCCTTCCTTGGGAGGTGAGTCTCAGACAGTCTTCAGTCCACATGGTAGAAAAGAGAGTAGGGCTCAAGGTCATTCGATCTAAAGACATTTAAGAGATTGTATTCCAGCCCACTCAGACTTGGGCTCACATTTTATTTATCAAGCACCTGCAGGATCCTTTTCCCATACAGGGTCTCACTTAGGCACAGAAAGAAGTTCTCACGTTGATTAGAAATATGCTATTGGAGTCCAGAATGCCTGGGTTCAGACCTCACGTGTGTCCCTGGCATTGTGATCACAAAAGAGTTGCTTGGCCTCTCTCAGTCTTCATTCCCTTCTCTGCACAATGGAGCAAACTGTCGTATTTACTCCCCAAACAGTGGGAATGTTAAATATGTCCAAAGCACAGGGCACCACGCTTGGCTGTTACTAAGCACTCAGTGAGTAGCCAAGTGACAGTACTGTCCTCGTTCCCAGCATGGACACTGAGCCTGGATTATTCCTGGGCCTCCTGCCTCTCTAGCTGTGCTCCCTGTGAAGGACACCACGTCCCTGCGGGCCTGCAGCTCCCTCTCCTACAGTGCCTGACCTTCCTCTCCCCATCTTAGCCATGCGTCTGGTTGACCTCAAATACCTCCTTCTTCGGGAACCTCCCTGGGTCCCTGTCTTGGCCCACGGTGCTGTGTCTTGGTCATCAGTGGTCAGCATCACAGACTCTCACTGTCTTCTGATAACCTTGGCTCATATAAGAGACTCGCCTTCACTCTCTAACTAGACTGGTCGCTCCTCGAGGGCAGGACCCTTTTTAAATTTTATCTTTCTGTGGCCTGTGGCCCAGAGCAAAGAATATGGGATAGATGCTCAGGGGTTAGTTTGAAGGACAGTATCACTGCCTCCGTGGACAGTGGAATGAACGAGCAGATGAGTGAATGTGAAGGAGTGAGGGAGTGACTGAACAAAGGAATGAATGAATGAATGTAAAGGAATGAATGAATGGGAGATTTGGGGTGACTGTTGAGGGAGGGACAGAATAAGGGAATGCATGGCTTACTGACCAGGGATTGGGGGGCCTGTGGAAAGCCATTTGTCTGGCCCTTGTCCTTAACTGTGACCTCTGGGCTGCTCCATCCCATCCACCCTCCCCTTCCTCCTGTTCCCTCTTACCTGTCTCCAGAAGTGATGACTGCACTCATTTCTTCACAGACCATTAGCTCTTGAGCACTGGAAGAGGCCAGCTCTGCATTGGCAAGGGCTGGGGTGCTGGCTGGCTGGCCCCCTGGGAGACGTCATGCAGCAGTGGGTTCTTATCTCTCCCTCTGCCCACTTGCAGATGACGACTGCACAGACTCCTTCACGCCCAATCAAGTCGCCAGAATGCACTGTTACCTGGACCTGGTCTACCAGAGCTGGCAGCCCTCCAGGAAGCCGGCGCCCGTCGCCCTGGCCCCCCAGATCGTGGGCCACACGAGCGACTCCGTGACACTGGAGTGGTTTCCGCCCATCGATGGCCACTTCTTTGAAAGGTGAGTGTGGCCTGTGCAGTGTTGATCCCTCTCTCTCCTGCCGAGAAGAGGGGAAATTCCAATGGGAAGCTGTTTTCTTCATCCCTGTTCTTGTTCATCTGGAGCCCCTAGCACCTAGCCATGCTAGTCTGTATAGACACAGGGCAAATTTGGGAGTCAGGGGGTAAATGAAGGAGTGCTCATTGGAATTAGTAAGTAAAGATGCGTGCTTCCAATGAATGGATGTTTAGCTTTATTTTATTATGAAACACCTGGAAACTTACTGCTTCTGTCTTCTGGGAGAGAGGTGCTGGCCTCATCTCCATGAGCTCGCGAGCTGAAATTGCCTCTGGTCAATGCACAGTTGTGATAGATGTGTAATCTATATTATATATGAAGGTGCATATGTGTGTGTATACGTACATATTCATAGGTCATATACAAATACACGTACTTGAATACACTTGAATATATAAATACATATCATTAGAATCTTTGGGCCTAGTATTTTGTTGTAGAATGGAGGAGAGGATTTTTAGATCAGGGATGATAAACTGAGGCACGGGAGTTCTGTCCCCTGGTCGTTCACTTATTAACTGTATTACCTTGGGCAAGTCATTTTCGCTCCTTAACTGGTCCTCTCTGGCAGGAAAGTGGGTCTAATAATGCCTCAGTGGCCTGAAGACGGGGACGTGAATCCATTGGTCTCTCATGGTGCCTTTCAGCATTGACACCCCCTGGGGAGCTCAAGCTTTAAGGGAAACAGATTCTGAAGAGTCAGGAAAACAGATTAAGATGACGACATCTACACTTGCCTATAATTTAGGGCTTATTAGTGTATTACCCCCCATCCCAATCCTTCTTGGCATTTTGTCGAACACTGATGATATACCATTGATGATGGTGAAAGGAATAACCAACTAATGATTAACTAATCATTCTCTGTGGTTATGGTTGTTGCCATTTATCAAGTCCTTCCTCTAAGCCATATTCCGTATTAAGGCTTTATATGGAGAACAGAGATAACTATGAAAGGGAAATCATCAAGGAACATCTGGGTGGCTCAGTCGGTTGGACATCTGACTCCTGGTTTCATTCAGCTCAGGTCATGATCTCAGGGTTGCAAGATTGAGCCCCACCTTAGGCTCTGCAATCAGCGTGGTGTCTGCTTGGAATTCTCTCCCTCTCCTTCCTCTTCTCCTCCCTTCGTTTGCATGTGTGCCTTCTCTCTCGCTCAAATAAATAAATAAAACTTTTTTTAAAAAATAGGGGAATCATCTTCCTCATTTGCCAGGTGAGGCATGAATTAGAGTGGAAGACAGTAAGAAATTTGACCAAGAGCCCACAGATGGTGCTGGGAGCCTGGCTCTGACTCACATTTTGCAATGTCTTGTCTTGGGCCCCCAGGTGCTTTCATTAAGTCCTTCCAAAACTTAAATTATGAAGGAGATATTACCCCTCCCCCCAAGAGAACCAAGAAAGGTGGTAAGGAGCTCTCATTTGTGTGTGTATGTATAAATACATATTAGATCATGGTACCACATTAAATTTAGGGTCCAGTTTTCTCCACTACCAACAGTCCCTGAATCTAGAACCTTTGTTTGGCAGCTGGGTGAATGTGTTCATGGTGGAAGGAAATGCACTCCCCGGCCTTCTATAAAGCAACACCACCCCCCCACCCCGCCTTCCCCTGCCCCAGCCGCCCTCACTGGGAGCTCAGAGCTGGGTTTGGGAAACGTCATGTGACACTTCAGAACAGACTTTCCAGCAGCCTGTAGATTTATTTATTTTTTCTGTGGCGATGAGAAGTATCAGACTTTTGGTCAAGCCTTGGCCTCAGTTCCACTTAAAAATGGAAGTTTTGTAAATGAAGCTTCCCGTGTATGTATTTAATTTGTATTTCATAAAGCAGTTATTGTCCATTAAATAAATACCATCTGATTGTTGGAAACCTATTGGAGGGTTAATTGTTGTGTAATGAGATATGTCTCTATTACATAGTACCCTCAGCTTCAATCAATATGTTTTTAATAACCTATAGTCAGTTGGTACTTGAGGCACATACAATAGCTATTCTGTTCGGTCTGAGATTTCATAACAGAGTTATCATATGTTAAATTAAAACCGACATTTTAGAAACATGTCTAATTAGGGTTAACAGCTACGTAGACGATAGTCTATGGCTAAAGGAAGTCTATCCACAAGTTCAATAATTTGCTGTAAAGAAATGGAGCGATCAGTCTCCCTACCCTCAGAGTTTGTACACCTACAGATTGGCTTGGTACAAAGAGCACAAGTTTGCTGGCAAGTTGTCTGCACTCTGTCCTCAGCTCCACCACTCCTGGTCTTCCGGACCTTGTGCAAGCCATCTCACCTCTCTGGTTTTCTCTGACCTTCCGAATCTTCTTCCATAATTGTGCCCACTTCCCCTGGCTTTTGTGGGGAATTCAAGAAACGTGACATCCGTGATATGCTCACACACGCACTCTATGTTCAAGAAATACTAGCTCCCCTCTTGTACAAAGTTTCCCTGAGCTGTTTAGCTACTTGAAAATTCTCTTTCCCTGCAAAATCTCTGGTGTTTTCCACTACATCCATCAATGCCAACCTCTCGCCCCTGGCCATCCTTACGTCCTCCTGCTGTTCCTCACATCTGTGGTCTAAGAGAATACAAGGGTTTTCCTTAAGAAAACATATTCAGATCCTCCCACAGCCTGTGTCCTCACACATGGGCAACTGAATAAATAATTCAAGGCCACCCCTGGCTTTTCTAACTCCTTTCTTTTTATCTGTCTTGCAAACATGTGTTGACTGAATGGTTTCAGTTATCTGAACAATTGGCAGTGGTGTATTAGAAAGAATTCTGGACTCAGACCCAAAAGACCTGGGTCTGAAGTCTTTGCAACCTCATTCGTTTCCTCCTCCTCTTCAGCCTCAGTATTCTGATCTGTAAACCAAAGACCATCTGGCCTTTTTCCCTATTCCAAATCTCAGAACCCAGAAAATGACTTGAGTAACAATTTTCTCAGTTTTCCCAAGAATGGTGCATGACGAGTACCATGCTAGATGCATGGGAGAGAAGTTAACTCATCACACATGGTAATCTGAAGAAGCACTGTTCAGTAGGACTTCTGCTGTAATGGAAATGTTCTGTATTTCTGCTGCCCAATATGGTAGCCATTAGCCAACTGGCTACAGAACATTTGAAATGTGAAAAGTGTGAAATTGAATTTCTAAATTTATTTAATTTTCATTAATTGAAATTCAAAGACCCACATGTGGCTGCTGGGTGCTGTATTATTAGCAAAGACTTAAGGCTTTGATTCTGATGGAAGATGGGTAAGAAAGATGATCTTGTCCAGCGTTAGCATCTTGTTCTACTGTGGTTTCATGAGTGTGTGTGTGTGTGTGTGTGTGTGTGTGTGATTGTGTGATTGTGTGTCTGTGTAGATACAGGCACAAATAAAAATCAAATAAATGCCAAACCTAAGAAAACATATACTCCCTGGATGTGTGGGATACTGCCTGATTTTGGTAAAGCCTGTATCTACTCTATGACTTTACGAGCTATGATCTCGGCATGATTACTTTGTACTAATGATCTTCTATTTCTGAATCGTGAAGTGGGAACATCACCCACTGCCCAGAATCACACCATTGCATTTAGTTGTCTACTTTGGCTTTACTTTTGTCCTTCGTTTCTGAATCTATGTTTCATTCAGCATGAAGACCAGTCTTTTTAAAATGTAAATTAGATCATGTCACTCCCTGACTTAGAGTGACTCCAGTGGCTTCCCACCTCTTTTATGTACAATCTGCGGGTGGTCTACTGGACCTCCCATGATCTGGTCCTTGCCTACTTGTCCAGCTGCCTGTCTTAACACTCTTTCCTTCATTCATGACTCCTGTCACTCAGACTTCCTCTGGGATCCCTATAGACCAAGGCTTTTCCTGTGCAGGTCCTTTACCTACCTGAGATTACCCCCGGAATGCTTTATATCCACTCTTCATGTCATCCTTCAGCTCTTACCATAGATGGCTTCCCCTCACTAAGGTCTTTCATGACTGTTTCCATTTTAATTAGCCCAGCACACCTCCCCCACCAGTATTCTTGCTTACATCATCCATTTACTTTCTTTCTGGAACTTAATGAACCCATAATTTTATATCTGTTTACTTATTTGTTTATGCACTATCCATCTGTCTGCAAGCTCTATAAGGTGTAGGTAGCATACCTGATTTCCTTCCCCTTGGATAGCCAAAGTCTGGAACTTGTACAGTCCTGGCAACTAGAGGCGGTTCAATGACTACCCGCTGAATGAACAGATGAAACAGTGAATGAATATGTGAATCAGTGGCTGAATATGAGGGAAAGTTCTTTGTGGAGCTCTGTGCAAACAAGGCGTGTTTACTGTCAGGTGGATGATGGTTTAGTCACTCATCAAAGTATCTGTTAGAAACCCAGAATGTGTGAAGAACTGATGTATAGGGGACTATAGGATCATCATCTAAAACAAAGTGTCTAAAGAAACAGAAAGAAAGTCTCAGTGGCCATTAAAGTCGATGTGGTTCCTGACTCCATCCCAGAACTTTTATAATCTCATTGTCCTCATAGAGCCAGTCATGTGACCCTGAGCTGCCACGCATGGATTGTGGTCATTGTAATGGAACTCTGCCCTCCAGGGTGAGGAAGTCTCTCTCTGAGCTCCTCATTCCCTGCTTTCAAGTGTATTTCTATAATTCTTTTTTTTTTTTTTAAAGATTTTTTATGTATTTATTTGTCAGAGAGAGAGAGAGGGAGAGAGAGCAAGCACAGGCAGACAGAATGGCAGGCAGAGGCAGAGGGAGAAGCAGGCTCCCTGCTGAGCAAGGAGCCCGATGTGGGACTCGATCCCAGGACGCTGGGATCATGACCTGAGCCGAAGGCAGCTGCTTAACCAACTGAGCCACCCAGGCGTCCCAATAATTCTTATTATTGCTAGTCCAGGAGTAATTCATAGATATTCAAAATATATAGAAAGTTCAGAAAACCGGAAGGAATGAAAAGGGAGGGGTAATCATCCTATATTCACTCCACCACCCAGAAATTCGTGTTGATATTTTGTGATGTCGAAGTCATTTGAACAGCATTGAGAAGCTGCTGTAAAGTCAGTTTTGAATAGGATTTTTTCACTGAACGTTGTAGCTTATGCATTTTTCATGAGATTTCGTGGAATATTTTTGCAACGACTGCTTACCATTTCATTGAACGTATTAATCTTGGGCTATTTCATCATTCTCCTTTCACTGGATATCAGTGTGCTTGCAGAATTTCTACCTATGTATGATTTCACATTAACAGTGATAAAGCAGGATGAAAATCTACAGTTTGAGAATCTAGACTAGGTTAGTTAAGAGTCATAGCAACATATCTGAGTGACTGGTATTCATCTATCTATCTATCCCCCAACCAGCCACCCACTCACCTATCCACCCATCCACCCATCCACTCATCTATCCATCCATCCATCCCTCTATGTACATGAGCCACCATATAAGTAGATCATCAGGAGGGTGATCTGTTCAGTTATAGGTTTGGGGATGAGCTTCCTGGTAGCTGTGTGGAAGGGGAATGGGGAACACCAGCAGGCTGGCGCTCGCCAGCATAGTCCTTCTTACCATGTGAACCCAGGGGCTACAGAGCTCCCTTTGAAGGGAAGGCTGTCAAGCTCCCCCATTGCATCTTTCAGGTAGCTAAAGGATAATGATCCTCCTCGGAATGATGAGAGAGGTATTGGCAGGACCATTGCATTTTGAGAAACAATGGGCTGATCCCTCTCCCCTCCTGGCAGCTGCCTCCTAAACAGATACCAAGTCTGGAGAACAAGCAAGATCCCAGAGGCTGTTGCGGCTAAAGGGAGATTGAATCCAGATACATAAGACACTTGAGAGTAGAGGAAGCCACAGTAATATTCCACTGCTGGGGCTCTGCCTTTCAAGGGATTGGCTTGCCCCTTGGAAAGCTGCTAAAATGAATTAGATGCCATGGGAAGGAAGCTGCTTTTGACTGTTAAATCAGAGGTGATTCATCCATCCCCAGAATGTCAGGCCTGGAAGGTTCTATAGGCGTCATCTGGGGGTTCAGCCAGCTCATTTTCAGATGAAGGAACTGAATCGTACCTTCTTTTTATTTAATACCTAGGACACAGGATGGTGCCTGGCATGTGGGAGGTACCTGATAAACACTGTTCAAAGAATAAAATTTGAGGTCAAATGGAAATAAAGATTTTTTTCGCAACCACACATCAAATCCTCGGTAGGGCTTTGGATGTCTGATGAAACTAAGATTAATGTGGGTGTGTAAGCCTTTGGACTGTTGATTCTGTACTGCTTGAAATTAAAGACGTGTCTACTAGTAGGACAGAAGCCTCATAAGCCCAAATAAGATCTTTTTCTGGGCTGTGGGGTAGAATTTCACTCATGGTCATAATCTGGAAACTTTGGCAAGGATAAGGAGGATAGGGGTAGCATGGAATTGTTGTGTCTTCTCTCCTGGTGCTTTTGGCCTAGCCAGATCAGGAGCTCATTCAACTGTTCCTAAGTCGGTGCATCTCCCTTCTTTCCTTGGCCTCCTAGAGAATTGGGATCAGCATGTGACCTTTGCCTGGAAGGGAGAATCCTGGTGCAGTATGCCGTCAACGCCTCCTCCCCGATGCCCTGTGGCCCATCAGGACACTGGAGTCCTCGAGAAGCAGAAGGTAAGCTAGCCTGGAAGCTCATTTACAAGTTGGGGGTGCAAAGAACAGCTCTTTTGATGTGGCCGGAGCCTTAGGATGGTAACCATCTTCTCTGCATACTGTCTCATTTGATCTTACGATAGCCTTGCAAGGCCAGTTTATTTTATTTTTGTCTTTTTCCTTAAGCTTTACTGAGACCTAATTGGCATATAACATTATAGGGTTTAAGGTGTACAAAGCGATGATTTGATACAGGTATCATGGCAAGTGATTATAGCACAATAAGGTTAATTAACACAACCGTTATCTCATACTTTTTGATTGTCTGTTTGTGAGCTCACATACAATCTACTCTCTGGACGATTTTCAGGTATGTGATAGAGTATTGTTAACTATAGTCACTGTGGTGTAGTTGAGAACCCCAGAGTTTATTCATCATACAACTGGGAGTTTCTGCCCTCAGCCCAAGATCAAGGCCAGTATCCACACATCAATTCAGCACATGTCCTCTGAACTCCTACACTGTCCTAAGTATGTCATCCCACTTTACATACGAGGAAACAAAGATGCTAAGATATTGAATGAGTGCCTGAAGCCACACACCCGATAAAGACATGGCGTGTATGTGTGTTTCTGTGTGCCTCCAGACCCTGGTGGCCTGTTGATGTACAGAAAATCCCCTTCCAGAAAATCACAGGTACTTGGGGAGGCATCAAGGTTTCATTAATCTTTGTCTTCTTCATTTGTTGTGGAGAATATCCAGGACATCCACACACATGGTATGATGATCCCTCTCGAAGATTTTTGCCACATACCCTCCTTGTTGAGATCAATCTATCAGCAAGACACTGGAGGGAAGCACCTCACCATTGCCACTCTTGGTGGGCTTTTCCCATGAGAGGACCCTCCCCTGCCCTGGGGATCTCCCAGGCCCTCCAAGGGGCCAGCAATCTCTGTGCTCTCTTATGGCCCCACTTGCTGCCAGACCCACTGGGTTTTCTGCAGAATTTAAGAGAGTGCATTTCACCAAATGCTTTGTTCCACTGGCACTTGGCCCTGACAGTAGCCACTTGGAACTTAGAGAATCTCGTGGAAAGTTGCCTTCTCAGTTTCCTTCCATGATCCCTACCCTTCTTTAGGGTTCAGTTCTAGTGCCCGCAGCCCGGCTGGCAGAGACCCTGTGTTCTGTGCCCTCCCTTGCCCCCCGAGACGTGCTCCACCCATCGGTCTCTCTTGCCCCTGCAGGGCAGCTCTCGTCCATGGTTCCTGGGTGGGGACACCAGCCCATCAGAGAGAGCTGAATCGGATTCCTCCCTGAGGTTCAGCAAGAACTACCCCCGTTTTCTTTTATATTTTTAGAAAGAAGGTTGAGAAGAAAAAGCCAGAGAATAAAGCAAGGGAGAGCGATCAGAGAGGAGAGTGAAGGAGGAAAATGACAGCACTGTACTTTGTTATCTTCTAAAGTAGCTTAAAATAAAAATGAGAGAGCTGAACTCAGGAACTCTAAACAAATCCATCTGGAATGTAAAGCGAGAGGGATGTCTGGGAGAAGCCCTCAGTTCATCCCCCCAGGATCACAGGCTGTCAGACTTGGAAGGGGGGCCTGGCTCATCTAGCCGCAGTTCCCACCCAGTGCAGGAATCCCCCTGGTGCCCTCCCTCACCCAGGCTCTCCTAGCACCCGCGCGTACATTCCTGGGCCTTGTTCTAACTCCATTTGTTAGAAAGTTCTTTCTGACATCTACAGTCGTGACTTTTCCATCCCAGAGGAACCCACGTTGGGTTCTCACAGAAGAAAGGGCATGTCCCTGCCAGCTGTCAAACTGTGTCCGTGCAGGGTGTCCCAGGCCCATCTGCGGCCACCATAGGAGCTGTGTGCCAGGCACTGTGCTGAGTATATGGCCAAGACAGAGCTGAGCATCTAATAGGGGAGTCAGGTGAGCAAAAGGGTGGTTACCGTCTACCATCGGGTGCAGCGAGGCCCATGATAACTGAAACACAGAGGGCCAGGGGAATCAGGAAGAAGCTGACCTCGTCCAGACCTGAGACTTTATCACTGCCCCAGTGATTAAGGCACATTTGACAACATGAAAGAAGTTTGGTATGTTTAGAGCAGAGTTTTGGGGGGGTTTTGGTGTGTTTTTTTTTTCCAGTGTGATCTGAGGGTTTATGGAGTTTCTGGAGACTTTTTAGGGTATCCTCAAAACCGAAAATTATTTTCAAAATAATGCTGTGGTAATTGCTTACCATTGTCACTCCCCTTCTCTCCCGAGAGAGCAGTGTTGCTTTCCAGTGGCTACGTGGAATGTGATGTTGTTACTGCTCTGATGGCTAATGGAGCACATGCTTATGTGTTCTCGTGTTTGAAGTTTCTCAGTGTCCATTTGTACCATGATAACTACCAGTAGACGTAACCCACATAAATGAAAGCTGTTCAGTAATGCTGAGAGCTTAAGTGGGTTTGGAGCATGAAACGTGAGGTGTGGAGTAGGGGGAGGTTGGACTGGGTGTTCCCTAATGACTGGATGAGGATGGGTTTATGCAGAGGGCAGCAAGGAGCCACCACATGCCTTGGTGGGGGTCTGGGCACACGTGACACACACATGGCACAATGGGTGTGTTATGAAGATTGCACGGGCTGCTGTGTGGTGAAGAGCCTTGGGATGGCTGTGCTGGAGGAAAGGGAGCTGCTGGTGGCTGTTGCAGGAATCCAGGAGAGGGATGGTGGTGGCCCTGATGTGGCCCATGGCAGTGAGAGAGGGAGCGAAGTCAATGGAATCGAGAGATATTTGGGAGGTAGGATCAGCAAGACTTTCCGCCAAGACTTCTCTGGCTGAAACCATCCTGGTTTGTTCTCCTCGCTGCATGAATGAAATAATTTTCAGACATCTCCCCACACCTCCATCCAACCCAGCTGTCAACTGGCTAAGTCAGTTCTTGGTTTGCTCCTAACCCTCTTAAAGCATGAGATGCAGAGTCGAGTTCATCGGGAAGTGCTGAGCCCCCCGGCTCCTTGAGCTGACTCAAGCATGCAAGGAAACCCAGCAGCCATGGGTTTTCCTTCAGGATATGTAAATTTAGTGCAATGCAGGCCAGGAAAAGACACTGTTCTTTTTTTAGAGCATCCTATTACAGGCTCTGTGATCCTTTTGGCTCAGACCCTTTTAATATCCTTGAAGAAATAAACTTTTCCATGAGCCAAACTCTGCAATTTATTTCTCAACTCATTTTCATCCTATTTATCTTTGCGTGTTTAAGTTTTTGGACTTCCCAAACTAACATAAAACTCCCAAATCCATGAGCGATGCCAGACATATCTTTGGGGTTGGGGAGAGAGTATGGGATGGGGGGTGGGGTTGAAGAGAACCGGACCTTGGTTCGAGCCCTGCCATCAACGTGCTCTGTGCCCTTGAATGAGTCACTTAGCTTCTCTGAAGATAACATCTCATGTACAGAATAAATGTCCTCTGTAGCTCTAATATTCCATGGAGCTGTGACTTCTTTAACTCCATATTAATAAGAAAGAAGGTTTTTTTTTTTCTCATTTAACAAATACTTACCACACACCCACTATTAACTCCATTAAGTCCATTCCGTGAAATTCAGGTAAATACAGCCACAGAAATTCTTGCCTTTGGCCACAGAAAGTGGTTGGATGCAAAACAGACCCTGTTTTCCTATCTCTTGAGCAAAGACTCTTATTTCTCAGATGAGTATTTCCTGAGGTGTTTGATGCCATGGACACTCGTTACCTAGGGCGTAGATAGCCAGACCTCATCAACTCAGATCTCAATTAAGATCATGTGCACAGGGGCGCCTAGGCGGCTCAGTGGGTTAAAGCCTCTGCCTGCGGCTAAGGTCATGATCCCAGGGTCCTGGGATCGAGTCCCGAATCGGGCTCTCAGCTCCGCGGGGAACCTGCTTCCTCCTCTCTCTCTGCCTGCCTCTCTGCCTACTTGTGATCTCTGTCTGTCAAATAAATAAATAGAATCTTTTTAAAAAAAAAGTCAAATTTAAAAAAATTAAATTTTAAATTAAAAATTTTAAAAAAAAGATCACGTGCACAAACATATATAAAGCATTGCAAGGGCTGGGTTTTCCATGAGAAAGGAACACGTGGCACTATAGCTGTTTTCATTTTTATTATTTGTGTGAGGCCTTTCCCCCTTTTGGTGCCCGGAATATTTCAGGTGTGCTGAAGTATTCATCTGGAAGAAACTTGGCACCAAGTTTTTACAACTACATTTGTGTCAGCAGCTGCAGCGTCTGTACACAAAGATACGTGAGGGATGTCTGTATGGATCTTCATAAACATAAATTTGAATCAGCGTACGTATGTCTAAATACATTTCACACACATAGATGGCCTCACTTCCAGTGGACAGCTTATATAAACACGTAACTTTTCATTTAGTCGCCATATATACAAAAGGGTATGTATTAACAATGAGGTAACAGTACCTTTGCGCTTTTTCTCCTTCCCCCTCCCTTCTTACTTTTTCCCTCCCTCCCTCTTTGCTTCCCTTCCCAAACCCCCCCTTCCATGTCTTCCCTACCTCTCCCTTCCCCTTTTCCATTGCCCTTCTCCCTGCCTCACAACCACACCGTCCTTGTTCTCTTTTCCTCCTTAGTCAGTTTGGTTAGTCCTCATCCCCTCTGATGTTCCCTTGTCTAAGCCACAGGTGTGACTAACTACGTTAGTACAGCCATTTCTCCCCTGGTTTCAGTAGACTAGAAGCTCCACGGGGCCAGAGACCACTGGACACAGACCAGGCAGTCAATAATTATTTTTTGGATGGACGGATGGGTGGATGGATGGAGAGATGGATGGATGGATGGATGGATGTTTGGATGGACAGATGGACAAATAGATGGATGAATACATAGATGGATAGATAGGATCTATGACTCTCAACAGTGGTTTTTCTAAAAGACAATTCTCACTTGTTTGCTTACAGTTTTTCACTAGCCAGTCCCCCTTGGTATAAAATTCCGATTCCTTAAAATGACCCTGGAGCCCTTCGTGACCTGGGTTCTGTTTAGCTTGCGGGCCTCGTCTCCTGCTGCTGCCTCGTTGTGCTCAGAACCATAGTCTTCTTCTTCCCGTTCTCTCTCAGCTCTTCTCTGTCTTGGACTACCTCTTCCTCCCAAGCTTTTCCCTATTAATTCCTCCCGATGTTTCATAACAAAGCTCCGTATTCATGAGCATGTGCTAATGCCCCCTCCCATTCGAGTTCTAGAGCACCCCTGTGACGTCAGTATCTTCAGAGTAGGTGGCGCGATGAGAAGCTGTAGAGCTGATCCTCTAGCCCAGCCTCCATTGCTTCAAAGTTTGACACGCTGCCTGGACCAGCACTATCCCATAATATTCTGCTCCCCATCCGGGGTGGACTCAGGCACTGGACTCTCAGTTCCCCCTTTTGTGAAATGATTTTTGTAAGACCTGTGCCCTAGACTCACTGCCAGGACAAAGAAAGCAGAGGCAGGTAACGTGCTTGGCGCGGCACCGCGCATCAGGGGATGGTAGGTTCGTGGAGCCTGGTATAGTCAGAGGGGTTGCAGCCTTGGTGATAGTTGGACTCAGCACACCCCCAGGGCTCTTTTTCACATGCAAGCATTTATCTCTGATAAGCAGACAAGCACACATTTTGCTAAGATCTCCATTCCTGGTTATGTACTTGAGTGTAATGTCCAGGCTCTTGTTCCTGTCTTTTGGAAAGCTTTTGGTCCCTCTGTTGCTTAACAAGAAACCAGGGAGAAGGCAGGAGCCAAACACGTTTGTCGCCTTTGCAATCTTGCGGGTGCCACCACCGGTAGTCATTTTCTCCAAGGAAGGGAGAAGGGTTGCTCCGTTCCTTGACAGTTCCCGGATAAAGTGTGCAGAGGGGGAGGAATGATCACCGGGCAATCCCTACCAGCAGGCATCAGCATTCCATGAAGCGCTCAGTTTTTTAACTCCATATTAACAAGATGGAAGATTCTTCATTTCACAAACAGTTAGTGAACGTCCACTTTGGTTACTATCTACGGCTCAGGCGCTATATTAAGTAACGGTGCCTGGTATTGAGTGAAATAGATGTATAAGGGGCAAAAACAGTAACCGTCTTATGGGATCTGGGTGACAATCAGGTAAATAAGTTAATGGCCAGGGAATGTGCTTCCCATGCATTAAAATGCTACCCTCACTAGAGCCCAGTGAGTAGGGGAGATGTATGTGCCAACAACCCACAAAGCTAAGAGAATCAGGAACTCCACTGAGTTGGAGAGTCTCTAGGAAGAAAAGCTTCAGCCTCCCTAAGGAGTCTTATTTGTGCCTTTGACTTAAACCACTGGTCACTTCTAATCAGCCTTTGCTGCAAATAATGGATAAGCTTTGCCAAGGAGTACTAGAGGAATCCTGTAGTTCCATCCATCTCTTCCTGCTCTGATGTGTTCTATCTAAAAAGCCTTTTGAATTTTCCTCACACTGTTCCCCTCCCTTTCTTTCCTTTATCTTCTCTTCTCCATCTCCACTTGGTGTCTTCTCTCTTCTCCCTTGGCTGGGCAGAGACACAGAGATTACAGGCATTGTTATAGCCTTCAGTGTAATACCTGTCCCACCTAAAATGGTTTTCTGGTTTTCATATTGTGAATCCTGTGATGCTGTAACACTACCACAAAGCCATTTCAGACAGAGATTGCCTTTTCCTTTTTGCTTTAGAAATGTCCAGTGCCCTACCTCCCACCAACCAGCAATGCAAAAGAAGAAGAAAAAAATGTGGCTAATAGGACAATTTGAGATCTTCCATGCTGCCATCACCAGCTGATCTGTATCTCTTGCTAGACTCCCCTAAACAAATTAGAGCCAATCACTACACTGAGTCCTGATTACTTTTCTCAGCAGTGCAAAGGAGAGCTCTCTGAGGGTCTAGGGCTAATGATCTCAGCAGAGAAAAATTCAGAAGTCGCTGCAGGCTGAGATCAGTGGGGATGAGGCATTGTCTCCCCAGGGAAGGAGTAAAAGAATCCCTCCTTCCTCCCCCCCCCCCACCTCACCCAATACTCCTCTTCCTGAGTCAGACTGGACAGAGCTCTGAGGAGCTCAGTGGTATGGAATGACCTCATGCGGCGAAGAGGAGGAGAGATAAGATGGCTCCAGGACCGCCTTCCAGCTCTGTCATTCATGGTTCTAGACAGTTTCCTCCCAGAATCCTCAGTCCGAGGGGAAAAATGGTCTGTGCTCACCTCTTTTTTGCTGAAGGTTTCTGGTTCTTCTGTCGTTTCAAGCAGGTTGTACTGAAAGCAGTACTGCAGGGATCCTAGTTTATTTTAGTGGCCTCTGCATGCAGTAGGGAGAATAAAGAGTATGAACTTCAAGATGAGACAACACTGGGTTCTAATGCTGACCTTTACATCAAGCTGTGAGACTTTGATCAGTTCACTCCACATTTCTGAGCCTTAGTTGCCTCACCTCTGAGATGAGTCTTTGCAAGAAGTAAGCAAGTTCAGGGGATGTATGGGTATTTGGCAAATGTGTGTCCCTCCCTTCTTTCCATCTGAGGCAGCAAAGCCTACAAGTAGGATATGAAGAAAGAAAGTTGGGGCATTGACTCAAGAGTAAGATACTCACTTGAATGTAGTTTTGACCAAATGTTTGGTGATTCATCCAAGAACTGTATCACAGGGGTGGAGACGAGCTCTCTGTTGTGCTTATAGCTGATACACTAGAACACTGAGAATCTTCCTTCTCCATTCCCCTTTCTCTGAGCTCAGGTTAGGCCAGTCTCTCCTAGCGTCTACAGGGCTTTCAGGAACTCATACCCTCATCTCTTCTCCATAGGTCATCCAGATGTTGAACAGCCCTGTAAGTCCAGTGTCCGCACGTGGAGTCCAAATTCAGCTGTCAACCCACACACAGTCCCTCCAGCCTGCCCTGAGCCACAAGGCTGCTACCTTGAACTGGAATTCCGCTACCCCTTGGTCCCTGAATCTTTAACCGTCTGGGTGACCTTTGTCTCCACTGATTGGGACTCTAGTGGGGCTGTCAATGACATCAAACTGTTAACTGTCAGTGGGAAGAACATCTCTCTGGGCCCTCAGAACGTCTTCTGCGATGTCCCACTGACCATCAAACTCCGGGATGTGGGTGAGGAGGTGTACGGCATCCAGATCTACACATTGGATGAGCACCTAGAGATTGATGCAGCCATGTTGACCTCCATTGCAGACAGCCCTCTCTGTCTAGAGTGTAAGCCTCTGCAGTACAAGGTGGTCCGGGACCCTCCTCTCCACGTGGACATGGCCTCCCTCCTATACCTCAATAGAAGATTCACGGACACGTAAGTGTGCTCTCTGGCTAGGGAGATGGTCAGGTGGGTGGGGTACAGAGAATGTAAGGAGGCTCAGAGAGGCCTGCCCTAGAAGGAGGTTCATGACTTCTGGGGATTCATAACCTGGCATTGACTGTAGTACTGTCCTAACATGGCAGGGGCGATACGGTGGGAATCGTAATACACAAGGAACCAGAAACCCTGCCTGGGTTTTTGGTGAGAGCTCTAATGTAACGCTAAGACTCCCAGACCTCTCTTAGTTGTCCCAACAATAAAATGAAAGAGGCTGAGTAAGATTAGCCACAAGAAAGCCATGTATGACTCCTGAAGTTGGAGAGCTGAAGTTTGAAAAATATTTCCTTTTTATATTTAATTGAAGATTTGTGCATTGTGATTGCTTTTCCAGTGAGTGAGAAGGGAGTGAAGTTATACCGGGATGCCTAGAAATTGAGCATGTTTCCATGTATTTGCATGAGAATGTTCCTGGAAGGTGAATATAGCCAGTCACAGTCCTTGTTTGGTTCCCTTTTCTGAAGTGGGAGAGATGTTCAGACTCATTTGATCCTTTAGAGTCCATAAAGCTCTAGGTCTCCAGGAGCCTTCGGGGATACACACAGCTTCTCTGTGAGATAGTGCTTATCCCTACTATTCATTTCTCAAGCCACCTCTTCCTCAGACTTCCTCAGGATTTGTTTTAGGAAAGAGACCACCTTACGATGACCTCATTAATGCTTTGCTTATATGCCAGACAGTGAGCTGAGATCCTCACATCTTTTACTCACTTCATCCTCTCCATAACCACAGCCCAATTATCCTTCTTGTTTTACAAAGAAGGGAATGAGGGCTTAGAGATGTGAAGTCATTTGTCTAAGATCACATAGTTAGGGAGTGGTGAGATCAAGGTTCTATCCTGACTCCTAACCCAGGGCCTTCAACCAGTATTCAATTAAAGATGTGATTTCAACTTCTGCTTTAATCTAACTGACCTAACTTGGGTCCCAAGAATCTATGAAGTTAATCACCAGACTTTGGTTGAACATCTACTATGTGCAACGGATATGGGCAGGGAACACTTGAACACTTGAATACTGACAAGAACAATAGCTCAGAAGTCAGATACCTTATGTTCAGCTCCAGCCAGTCCACCTACTAATTTTAGGTAAATCCATCAATCTCTTTGAGCCTTGCTTCCCTCTTCTGTGTGATGAAAATGCTCAAGTCAGTGGCTTCTCTGCACCTTTTGTGGCACTTTCTTTGGTTCTAAGATGATATAAGGCCTGATCTCCGCTCTGTCTACTTGAATATACTCACTGAGCCAATCATTAATAGAAACCAAATTTTGGAGGAAACTTTTAATCTTTTTAAGAGACAGAACCACTTTCAAACACTTTACCAGCACTCCCTTTTACATGCCAGCAATTAACGTGCACATCACAAGCAGACCCGTGCCCATTCATTGACTCAGAGATGAAGAACATCTGGTCAAGAACTCAGAGGGAGCACTCGGTTTGTGTTTGAGAATGTACTTAAAATTTAAAGGATCATCTTGCCTTGAGAATATTCCATAACTCTGTCTCTTTCATCTTCTTGCTCATCTAGAGTAGTAAAGCTCTATAGATATGCATCCACTTAAAATTTCTTTATAAAACAATGGAGAGAAGACGTCATAGATGCCTTAAACTCTCAGCTTAAACACAGCTTTCATTTTCTGCCTGGAGTTGTGCGCCTGTAAGACCCGACATGGGCTGGCAAGTGTGGAAGGGCAGAAATTCAACTGAAGACGTGGGAGCCTCCTGAGTTCCATTCCCGGATAGTCTTGAACTTGCTCTACAATCTCAGGCTAGTTGCTTACTTACCCTTCCCAGCTTTCAAGGGCCTTGATATATAAAGAAGTCGTACTAGATTAGGGGTTCTCCAAGTCAGTTGCATGTCATGGAAATTTGGAGCATTTTTAAATCCCTTGTGTTTCCCAGCATCCCCTCTCTGACCCCTCCTCCACCCCCATCCTACCCCCAGGTATTGAATTAACTGGTAAGGGGGATAAAGCCAGGCCATCAGAACTTTTAAAATCTCACTGGATGATTATAATGTGCAAACACGTTTAAGAACCACTGCACTAAAGCAGGTTCTTAAAGTAGAGCCCCAGACCAGCAGCAGCAGGACCCAAGAACTTAGGGCAAGTCCTTAGATCCCAGCCCAGACAACTGAATCAGGAACTCAACTGTGGGGTCTTCCCAAATGACTCTAATGCAGGTTCCAATTTAATAGCCACTGCTGTAAGTGATCTGGAAGGCTCAGGTATTTCCAGGGTCTCTTTCCCAGTACTTATTCAGTTTACAAATATGTTTTGAGAACGTTCTGTGTGCCAGAGTGTTCCCTGGGAGCTAGGTATTTCAGGGATGACCTGACCCCTTTCCTGTAGACATTCACTTTGGTACTGAGGACTTTAATCACGTGGTTAAAAACACCCAGTCCTGTGCCACTTTGCTTCCAGAACCACCACTCTTCAGACCCGCACTCTCATATCCCATTCAGTCTTTCATTCACTCAACAAGTCTTTCTTAGGCCCCGCTACAGCATTTCAGACACACGGACTAGACTGAGGCCTTCATGGACTTCCTCTATGTCTTTCTCGAGTCCCAAGGAATTTACTAGAGACCTAGACTGGACTACATTTCCTGACCTGAATGTTCTCTGAGACTCTAAAAAGAGTAAAACATCATTCCAAGTCAACCTACCATTTCAACTCCTTTATCTCTTGGTAATTTGATTTCTGAACTCCAACACAAATACATTTGTGTGTGTGTGTGTGTGTGTGTGTGTGGTGTGGTATGGTGTGTGTGGTGCATTTTTCTGCTTTCACATTTTTTCCATATCAAATAAATTGGCTCTTATACAAGTTCTATATAAAGACTGTTTTGGAGAAAAAGAGGAGAGAGGGAAAAAATGCTTTCTTTTTCTTCCCTGACTCAACCCATTACATGGTTCCCTTTGACCTTTGTCTTCATTTTTTTCCCTCAACAAAAATATTTATTCTTTCCTTTATCTGTGCTGGAGATAGTTTCCCAAGGTATGACATTGATGAAGGGAGAGGCTTCTGTGCTTACCCAATGGACACTTCTAGGAGAGTGATTACTTTTGGCCAGGAAGAGGAAGAAATGTGGAACTTCTCTGTTCTGTGGAAACCCGTCCATTGAATGAGAAGGGACACTGGTGGAGGAAAAGGGGACCAGCATTGACTCTGCTACAAACTCACTATATGTTGTGCAGACACATTGTATCATGGCTTTGGGCTTCAGTTTCCCTCTGTAAAATGAGGCGGCAGCACACTAAACTTTTCTCTGTGGGTAGGCATTGTTTTTGGGTGACAGGTGATTCATTCACTTTTTGGTAGTAAAAAAGACTTAGCAGAGACTGTCTATAAGAATCAGTACCCAGAGGGCACCTCACTGATTGACTGTGATGCCCTAGTGCAGTGTGTAGTGTGTGGACAATAATAATAAAAATAACAATAACGCCAACCACTTGCTGAGTATTCTCTCTGCTTTAAGTGCCTTGCCAAATATCTATGAGGCAGCAAAGCTCAGAAGAAAAGCTGAAGCTCAGAAAAGTGATTTATTTGACCTAATACAGCTGGTAATGACAGAGGCAGGTTTAAAACCCACATCTAATTCCAAATAATACCTTCTCAACCATAACACCATACTGCCTTCTACTTTGATAATGCAAAGGCAGAATTCTGGAGCTCTGACATTCATGCAAGCTGGCTCAAGTCTGAGATACAGCAAGTGGAAGAGAGGATATGACTCACGAGCCACCAGCCCTCCATCAGCTACTGTGACCCACTCTGGGAGTCCAGCAATGCAATTTACATGGCCAGTTCCTTATGCCTCTGGCTGGGAAGAAAGAGCAGGGAAGCTTCTGTTTCTCGACTTGACTGTCAAGTGCTTCTGTACTGGCCACTGTGCAACTTGGGTCTATATGGAATCTTTAAATTACTCAGAGAAGGAAAAACTCTGGGTAAAACTAAGGCTTTTTTGTTTGTTTGTTTGTTCTTAGAAAGTGAGGTATAAAGCAAACCAGAAACAACAATAGCAGTTCACTCTCTTCCTTTATGCATCTATCCATCTATCCATCCCTAATTCATTCAGCAGCTATTTAACAGTGTCTATCCGATAGCATACGCTGTGTTAGGAAATGATGATATTGTGGTGCCAGGACAGGCATGGAGGCTGAGCTCTGGGTGCTCACACTGGGGGAGAAGAGATAGGGAAGCAGTGTCACTGCAGGACAGTAGTGCCCTGAAGGCAGAGACAGAGACAAAAAGTGGCTTCTAACTCAAACTTGGAAGAACCGAGGTACAATTAAGGAATAAAGAGCCTGTTGGTCTGCTAGTGCTTTCCAAGTGCCTAGAACAATTACAGATACCAAGTAGACAGTGAGTATTTTTGAGTGGCTCTTAAATGAAGAGTGAGAAGGAGTTTAGTGGTTGAAGAGAAATGGAGAAGCTAGGATTTACTGAGCACCTACTATATGTCAAGAACTTACTAAGGGTGTTACTCAAGTAATCTCATTTGATTTGATCTGCGTAGCAGCTCTACAAAGTAGGTGGTCTTCTTCCCAGATTATAGATGAGGATCTGGCTCTCGGACTTTCAACAGCTGTCAACCTGCCTGCCTGGGGTTGGGTGTAAATCCATCAACTCCAAAGCTAGTGCTCTTAGTCCTTCATTCTCTGGTTGAACGGATATGTGTCTGTGCCTCTCTCTCAGAATTTTTTATGTAGAACTAGAAATATTCTTAGAAGTCACTTCTCCCATTTGGCTTGTATGTGTATCTCAATTAAGTATTCTACTGATTTTTCTGTCACGTTCATACTTGTTAACCTGCAACCATAGTCTCTGTCTGTTTTGCCTCAGCTTCTTGGCATTCTTAATATAATTCTTAGAGGAAATGAATAAGCAAAAGGGAAGGATTCATTTATAAGACCTGAGTGGAATTTCTTAGGAA